TTTAGTGACACCCTTTCAGAAATGAGACCCCATTCCACAACTATAATTTATCACACTTGTATCCAGGGCCGGATTTCGGTTTGATGAGGCCCTAAGCTACTGAGGGTAATGGAGCCCTTTATATATCCAGCTGTCCTTTGCCAACAACAAATTGTCGCTTTTTTGTGTTGAATATATGCTATATGGTAACTTATGGACCTCATAGGTATCCAAAGCCAATTAAACGTAACAAAATATGTATTTTTTCAAAGTAATTGTTTTTTATCTTATATTTTGGAAATGTACATCCAAGGTTTTTTTCCTTTAAATTTTTTTGGGGGGCCCCAAGAGAGTGGGGCCCTAAGCTATAGCTTGTTTAGCTTATACGTAAATCCAGCACTGCTTGTATCTTCTGTTCTCGGCTTCATTCCACTTGATCCTAATCACCACTATTATGGCAATCACTTATGCAGAACAACTCAATTGGCATCATAGCTGAGTGGGGGGGACTTGAACCTCGGCATTTTATTTAATTGGTTTAAAAGATGCATCGTCATTAAGTGCCAACACCAGGATGGTGTATATTATAAAATACATTTTATCAGCCATCATTAAAAACAAAGGCAACTACAAACAGCTCGTATCCCTGTCCTAAATTCTTTCCCTTTGAAATACAGATTCTCCGACCCACACTTGGCTTCCATCTCTCACCTGTATGTTCCTGTTGGCTGTCTATTTCTAAACTTTCAGACAAATTTGCGGCTCAGCAGATTAAAAGGATTTCTCTCTTCCCCCCTCCCCTGGTGGCTAATGGGTCAAAGACCTTCTTCCTTTGCAGCACAGAATTTATAGGGCAGAAAAGATTTAGCAAGCACGGTTCCCAATTACATTAATTGCACATCTTAACCCTACTGAGTTTTACAGAACCACTTTCCAATGTCGTGTTGGCGAATTACAGTTAACATTACAACAGTGTGCAAATTGCCATCTTTATAATATGTCTATAAGGTGGAGACATAGGGGTCTGCAGTCAATTTCCGTGAGCCGCGTCAAATTCTACTCAATGAATGCACGCACTGTTTGGTGCTAAGGTTGGGGGGGGGTGGAGAGAAATGCTATAAATGCTTTTCTATGTGGAAAAAAAAGGCCCCAGAGAGTAACTTGCAACCAGGCATTGGTCAACAAAGCTTTCTTTGTACAGCAAGGTTTGCTCACGGATGGGACAGGACGACTCTAGATTCCTGAACCCTGCTGCAGACAAACTTCACTGGCAACTTTAGAGAAAAGAATCCCTTTTAATTCCCCCATAATTCAGTAATTGATATTCCTTGCAGGGTGCTCTTTAGGAATGGGACCTCTGCTGGATGTAGGATTTGCCATAAGGCTATTATTTCCCCCTTAAAAGTTAGTTCAGAGGAGATCAACTGATGGGAAAAGGAGGGGGGGAGCTCACACCTCCAAAAAGGCTGAAAATACAGAACACTGTAGTTTTTGTTCAGTCTGAAACTTGATGCTTTCATGTTAAACAAAACGGTTACTCTCCAAGTCAACTCCCCAACATCTTAGTGTTAATATCTTATAGCGAGGAAAGAAGTGTCTTTGTTTTAGAAACACGTAAAGTTTAATGAAGTTGATTTATGACACGGACCGTACAATAGCATTGCAAAAATCATATAGATAAGGTAGATAATATAGATAACAGCTCAGTTTTCATAATCACTAAAGACTCTTCGAATCACAGCCAGATTCCTAAGACCAAGACCGCTCTCATATTCTGCTATCTGGACTGCACAAATGAAAACGTGAGCATTGAAGATTAATTGCTACTCAGGGAAGTACCACACCAACCCAGATGTAAGTCCTGCTGCTTTCAGGCTGAAACCTCACGGACCTATCTATACATAACGGAAAAGTGATACGGTCTGTCCTTTTATGGGAGATGTGGATGATTGTTCCAGAAGATGGAGCTCAACCGCAGCTGGGAAGCTCTGTCCTTTCGAAAAGGCAGAAGGAACAATCCTTACCTGAGCTGAGGAGGAGGCCAAAAGCTGAGAAAGAAGAAGTAATCCGAGGGCTGAGAACCCAGCCATAGCCGTCACAAATTAATTCCTCTTGGCTCCAGAAGCCTTCTCCCCCTGCTGCCTATTATTCCGTCCTGTGCTTTTCAGAATCTCCACTCCTGAACGAGTCCCTTCCACCGCCAGGGAAACCTGTGCCTCCTGTCTGGAAGGGAACCGACACGCCAGCCAAGGAGGCAGAGGGGGCTGGACTCTGATGGAGATCGAGACCGGGCCACTGAGAAAGGGGAGGAGGAAAGGAAGAGCTGGACACCTCCATTCATAACTCAATATATTTTTTCCAGCTTGCTGGAGGATAGCAGCAGAAGGGGCCCAGGCACAGGGAGAGTGTTGATTGGCTTGGGTTAGCCGATTTAGGCTACACCCACACCATATGAAGGGACGCGGGTGGCGCTGTGGTCTAAACCACAGAGCCTAGGGCTTGCCGATCAGAAGGTCGGCGGTCGAATCTCTATGACGGGGTGAGCTCCCATGGCTCGGTCCCTGCTCCTGCCAACAAAGCAGTTTGAAAGCACTTCAAAGTGCAAGTAGATAAATAGGTACCACTCCGGCGGGAAGGTAAATGGCATTTCCATGCGCTGCTCTGGTTCGCCAGAAGCGGCTTAATCGTGCTGGCCACATGACCCGGAAGCTGTACGCCGGCTCCCTCGGCCATTAGAGCGAGATGAGTGCCACAACCCCAAAGTCGGCCACGACTGGACCTAATGGTCAGGGGTCCCTTTACCTTTACTTTTTACCGCATCATATATTTAAAGCCCTATGATACCACTATAAACAATCACTGCCTCCCCCAAATAATTCTGGGAGATGTAGTTTGTTAAGGGTGTCAAGAGTTGTTAGGCGAACTCTATTCCCCTGAATTATAATTCCTAGAGTTCCCTGGGAAGAGTAGATTAAGTCACCCTGGTAATTGTGGCTCTGGGAGGGGAATAGGGGCCTAACTCTCAGCACACTTCAACGGCAGTGCCCAGAATTATTTGGGGGAAGCTGTGACTGTTCTAAGTGGGTTAAATATATGTTGTGGTCGATCCATTTGGCAATGCAAAAAGGCCTTGATCTCTCTGACACCACTTACATGGAAAAACATTAACAGGGTGTTAGCTGGGTGACCCAAGGATGTATCCATGTGAATCAGAGTCCCACCATGATTGGAATGGTTGCAGGGGTCATATCCAGAACAACTTAACTCTCACATTTTAAGTTTATCCATTAGAATTTGTACCCATGGATAAACAGGACAGCGCTAGTGCACAAACCGGCAACAAGAGTTCAGACATACTTATTGATCCCTCGATTAGCGACGAGCTGCAAGTGTGAATTAACCAGATTCGCCAGAGATCAACTACTGCTGTCTGGGCCAATGCCAGGCAATGTGGATATTCTAATGTGATAATTCTTATAGGAAACACTTCCGCTCTGCTCCTTAAGAGATTGATTGTGAAACACTTTTTGAGGCAATCAAACTGTACAGCATTCCAGACGCTTCTGCACCATAATGCCATTATGATACAGTGGTACCTCGGGTTAAGTACTTAATTTGTTCCGGAGGTCCGTACTTAACCTGAAACTGTTCTTAACCTGAAGCACCACTTTAGCTAATGGGGCCTCCCGCTGCTGCCGTGCCGCCGGAGCACGATTTCTGTTCTCATCCTGAAGCAAAGTTCTTAACCTGAAGCACTATTTCTGGGTTAGCAGAGTCTGTAACCTGAAGCGTATGTAACCCGAGGTACCACTGTACTAGCATTTTATTTTCAGTTGCTTTCCTAAAGATGATTATTAGCATGGCATTTGTATTTTTCACAGCTGCAGCACACTGGAAAAATTGTGAGGTGTGCGATTTTGGGGTGGGGATGCTTAGGTCCAGCAGTGTACACTCAGAGCGCCTTATCAGGTCAGAGAGAGACTTCTGAGTTATCCAGGCTCTGGTAACCTCCTGGTTGGAGAACTACCTGTTCTACGTAGTCTGGAAACTTCAGCTGGTCCAGACCTGGGCAGGCATCGCACCACTGCTTGGTCATCTGCACTAGCTTCCAGTCCCTTTTCATGCCCAATTCAAAGTGTTTGTCTTAAACTTTAAACCTGGATTGCTGGACTTTCCCACTGTCCCAAACCATTGGACATTCTGGGTGGGTGTTGTCAGCCTACTAGCAGCTGGAGGGCCACTGGTTCCCCCAACACGCTTTAAAACCTATGCAGCTTGCAGTGAGGTTATCTGAAGGATTGTGGCCTCCTGAATATACCTGCCTGGCCCCCAAGACCTTCATACGAGGTCGCCTCCCGCTTTCTCCTATTGCACAGCAGACACCCTAGAGAGGTTCACCTGGTGCCACTGATCTTATGGTCCTTTTAGCACATAAGACCATTGGGAGAACATCACTTCCCCTGACTGGGTTTACATTGCACTTAACGCTGCCGTGTGCTGGCTTTTATTCTATATTGTGTTGAGATTGCTGTAAGGTTCTGATTGCATTTGTTTGCATGTTTTGAATTATAAGTTTGCAAACCACCCAGAGGCCTTGGTTGATGGTGCGGTATAGGAATGTCACTTCAGCTGCATTGAGGGGCAATGCCAGTCACTAGAGACCCCCCAAGTCCCGTCTTGCTAACTTTTTAGACTCTCCTCATATAGACAAGTAGTTAAGCAGCAGGAAGCAGAGTGTGAGAATAAATTGACAGTTCTCCCAATGGAGATGTAGAAAGAGGAGTCCTCCAACGATCAGTTTTGAGATCTGTGTTTTTTAACTTGTTCATAAACCAAAGTCTATGGGGAGTATATGGAAGAAAACAACTGTTGTTCCTTACCTCTCTACATTTAAGAACATGAAATCAGACTCCTCAAAACATTCTTCTCCCAGGAGACCTTTGCAAGATTGTTTAGCTTAGGTTTCATTCTCAAACATGCCCAGTTTAATGATGAAGAAAAGAAACTAGAAGCTCTTAACTAGAAGTTAGGAACTTTTATTTTAACAAAGCAAGATTAATTTAACAAATAGATTCCTTTCGGACCGTCTAGTAAATACTGGAAAATTTGCCCACAAAGTGGCATTTACTTGCTCAAAAAATGATTTCCGTTTCGAAACCAGAGCTATTTGGAATCATTTATAAAGTAAAGGAGAAAACCCACACACATTATTTGAGAATTCAGAAGATCAAGTATGCAAGTCAACAACTGGGGGAGTTTCATTTCGAAGCCTTTGTTGTCTGTCCCCAGTGAAAACAACCCATTATGAAGGTCTTGGGCTTCATTACAAAGTATACAAAAAAAGAGGAACCAACACACACACACACACACACACACACACACACACACACACACACGGGCAGTGGACTGGTGCTGTTCTGATCAACTTGTAAAAAGTCCTTTTAACTGCCTCCAGAATCAGTGGAACCACCTCATTCTTATCCAGGATAAAGCTATTCTGCTTCTAGCCCTGATACAGAATTCACACTCTCCGCAGATTCAGGTGTTTCATTCCTATCTGCCACTCCTTCTGCCTTTCCTTCAACGCTTCCCTCTTCCTGTCCTGGGCTTTCACCACCCACAGCCTTCTTTTCACTGAATGGCAGAGTTTCGCCGGCCTGCAATCTCTTGACTTCCAAGGCAGAGGTAGTTCCTTGCTTGCCAGACTGAGCTGGCGCACAGCTGTCCGGCGAAAGGCTCGACTCGGCGTTAGTTTTGGAATTAACCAATAAATCCACACCCGGCGTTTTACAGTCGCTGTCTGTAGGAGTGTTGCCAACTGTTTCTGTCGCATCGTGGCAGGCTCGATCCGTCCTCTCGGTGCTGGCAGAGTTTATCTGGCTCTCAGAGGATGCCACCTCGATGCCCGCCTCTTCAGGTGTCCCCAAGGCACTGCCTTCCGATGCCATCTCAACTTTCCGTCTTTTTCTCATTGCGTCAGTGGCTTCCGTCTCCTTCATGTACCCACCATCCATACCACCTCCTTGGGGCAGCAAAGGGCAGGCCTTCTCCTCCGTCAACAGAAGGCCGTCGATCCCCTTCTGACCAATCACAACCTCTCCGAGGTTGGCAGAGATCTTCTCAATGTCGGTGGGGCTTCTCACCACCCTGACGCTTTCTTCGCTCAACCTGCTCATCTCCAGCTTCCTCTTCTTGCATTCCTTCGGACTTTCACCGGACGCCCCGCTCTCACCCTCGTCCGCAGGATCCTGCCTTTCCAGCTGGGGAGGCGAAGAACCTGGAGCTCCATCTTTCCTCTTGCCCTTCTGTGCCCCGCTCTCACCCTCCTCCACAAGATCCTGCCTTCCCAAGTTGACAAACGAAGAAACCGTTGTGTTTTCTTTCCCGCCGTCCTCCTCCGCCTTGACTTCCTCTGCTGTTAAGAGCCCACGTTGACTCGCCTTACCTGAAGCTTCGTGTTCACCTGCGGGACTCGTTTGGGGTTCCAGAGCGTCTCCGGCCTGCAATCCATCACCACAGATCACAGAGGAAGGCTCTCCCTCGATAACTTTGCTAAGGACAGAGTCACTGGATGAAAACCCAGGCTCATCATCACTTTTGGATACAGGCTCCTCAATCAGATTATCGGTTGTTTGGTCTACAGCAGGGCAAACGGTGCCTGTCATGTCCAGCAGCTCATCTTGATCGTTTTCCACACTCTCCCTCCTCGCAGGCTCTTCCTCAAGTCTCTGGCATGTTTTATGTTGCTGCTCGACTTCACTCTTTCCTGCGGTCTCCTCTCCATCCTCACTCTGCCCCCCCTCCAGCCGCTCGCTGTTCAGGAATTCTGGGGACCGGGGTTTGAATCGTCGGAGCTTCCTGTGCGGGCCCCAGACGAAATCCCGCTTGGGCGTGAAGTGCCGCCACGCAAAATGCACCAGCTCCTTCCGCTGCTGCTTGTTCCGGACAGTGAACACAAAGTAGTCCAAGGCACTTCTCAGCACCCGCGGGAGCTCCTGGTGGACCAGGATCTCCGTCAGGAAGAACTTCACCAGGTGCATCTGGTAGTTTTCGTAGCCCAGCTCTCCCAAGCACTTCAGGATACGAGTGATCCGTAAATTATTGTGGCTGAACCTGAAAGGGGGAGAAAGAAGGGGAAGTAAGTCTCACATTGTGAAGGCAAATGACTAGCTCGGAAGGGAGCTACTATCCAAATATCCTACAAAGGACATTCCCACTTACTTTTTGGAATGGAACAAGCCAACAGTGAAGTTACAGGGAACTAAGAAGAGGGCCTTCTTGGTAGTGGCACCTTCCCTGTGGAATGCCCTCCCATCAGATGTCAAAGGAGATAAACTACAGTTGTACCTTGGAAGTCGAACAGCCTAGTTCTCGAACATTTTGGCTTCCCAACAATCGAAGCCCAGAAGTGACTGTTCCAGTTTTCAAATGTTCTTTTGGAAACCAAACATCCAATGGGGCTTCTGCGGCTTCTGATTGGCAGCAGGAGCTTCTTGCAGCCAATCAGAAGCTGCGCTTTGGTTTTTCAACATTCTGGAAGTCGAACGGACTTCCGGAACGGATTCCGTTCAACTTCAGGTACAACTGTATCTGACTTTCAGAAGACATCTGAAGGTAGCCTTGTATAGGGAAGTTTTTAGCGTTTGATGTTTTATTATGCTTTTATATCTGTTGGAAGCCGCCCAGAGCAGCTGGAGCAACCCAGTCAGATGGACGGTGCACAAATAATAAATTCTATTATGCTTTTATGCAGAAACTGTGGTTGGCAGGATGTTTTTGCCTTGATGGCGCTCAGCCTATCAAGCACAACTCAGCTTAAGTAGCTGGTGTTCCCATGCAGGATCCCAGACCAAGAACTGGAGGTGGAGAACAGCCCAAGTTCACTCACAAACCCACTGCAAAATCCATGGATCCTAGCGCAGCCCATCATCTCACAGAGCATTCGTGTATTGATGGCTACCGGCCATGATGGTTATGTTTCAGAGGCAGTAACGCTTCTGAATGTCAGGAATCACAAGCGGGGAGAGAATTGCAAGCAGAGAGGGAAGTGTTGCACTCGTGCCTTGCCTGCAAGCTTCCCATGTGCATCTGGTCGGCCTTTGTGGGAACAGGATATTGCACTAAATGAGGCATTGGCTTGATCCAGAAGGCTGTCCTGATGTTCTTGAGACTAATACAGAATAGCTCTTTCTATGCAAGCACAGCACTAAGCCAGCTTCACTCAGCTTCATTCACATTTGGTACGATATGATATGATATCTTTATTGTCATTGTCCCATACACAACAACGACATTGAAAAAATCTACATCAGACATTCAAAAACCAACAAGCCTGCTATCCCAGCCTGGTTAACCCCCTAAAAACTCTGATACCCCATAATTAAATACAATATACTCCCACAGAGACTACCTTACACTGCGTTTAAAACCAAAATCGCATTTGGATAAAAACTGTTTCTCAGGCGGCTAGTCCTAGTCTTTATAACCCTGTACCTTCTTCCAGAAGGCAGAAGCTGAAAGAGATCATTTCCGGGGTGTGCACTATCCTGCGCTATCTCTGCAGCTTTCTTATGGCACCTGGCAGCATAGATTTGATCCGAGGTGGGAAGAGTGCACCCAATTATTCTCTCCGCAGTCTTTACAACCCTGGACAGCACTGTTTTTTCCCTGACCGTGCAGCTCCCAAACCACACACACAGACCATAAGTTAATACACTCTCAACAGTACAATGGTAAAATGCCATCAACAGGTCCTTTGAGAGATTATTTTTCCGGGGGATTTTCAGAAAATATAACCTCTGCTGTGCTCTCTTCATTAGGTCTTTGCTGTTTTCTCCCCAGGTTAGGTCATCTCTCAACTCCATTCCCAGAATGATGACTGCAGTAGCCAAGGGACTGCAGTGCAGGCCACTTGGTGACTTTTATGCACAAGTCTGTCTAGCAAAGCAACTCACTGGTTGAGGTTCTCGAATCTCTCTCTCCAATTCTTTGCTCGTCGCAATTCGCCCGTTTTCTCATTTAGCAGCTCGATTCCATAGAAGTCCAACATGAGCTTGTAAGCCCTGACGAACCTCGCCATGACTTCCTTCGATTTCTTGAAAGCCTGAAATAGCCAACGGGCAGGACACAAAACAGTTGTTCTTTATTGAGGACTTCATTGTTTCGTTCTACTTGAAAACTGCTTTGAGGTTTTAATTACAATTCAGAGGTAAAAATATATTGTGAAACTTTTTATTTTTTAAATTAAGCACTGCTCATTTAAACTTTTTTGCTTATTTGGTACTATTTTACTGCTTGATTTTGTGGGTGTTGTTTTTGACCTATACAACCTGCTGCAAAGGTAAAGGTAAAGGGACCCCTGACCATTAGGTCCAGTCATGGCCGACTGGGGTTGCGGCGCTCATCTTGCTTTATTGGCCGAGGGAGCCGGCATACAGCTTCTGGATCATGTGGCTAGCATGACTAAGCTGCTTCTGGCGAACCAGAGCAGCGCATGGAAACACCGTTTACCTTCCCGCCGCAGCGGTACCTATTTATCTACTTGCACTTTGACGTGCTTTCGAACTGCTGGGTTGGCAGGACAAGGGACCGAGCAACGGGAGCTCACCCCGTCATGGGGATTCGAACCGCTGACCTTCTGATTGGCAAGTCCTAGGCTCTGTGGTTTAACCCACAACACCACCCGTGTCCCTAGTGCAAGATGCTGTATGAACAGCTATACATTTTAGAACTGAAACAACAGCAGCAACTTTAGAAGTTGGCCAAGGTGTTCCATCAAGGAGCAACTCAACACCCTTCATTCTGGTGCCCTCCGTGTATTTTGAGCTATAACTCCCTTCAGTCCTGATAGCTAGCAATGCAGGTTGTGGGTCACCTCACTGGGTGAACCAGAGGCCTATCTCCATCCTCTGACCAAAAGCTAGAGGGAAGACACCTCTGGCAATTCCTGGGTGACTGGAGCTAGCATGGAAGTGGGGAAATCGAGACAGGTCTTATGGGCCCCAGCATTCATACCGCCAAAGCCACTACAGTCAAGAGTTGCTATTATTTCATAAATGGGTGTAAAAAGAAAGCAGAAAACTCAGAATCCATTTCCCTCTACCTGTGGTTTTAAAGGCAATCTTTAAAGGGCAAGAGGCCTCCTACCTGGATTTCTTGACAGGTGAGAAGCCGCGCGCGCCAGTTCCTTCCCGGCTCACGCAAAGGAAATAACCTGGAAGGAAGTCAAACAAAGAGGGGATTAAGTCTGCAAAGAAAACAAGAATTTAGCCCAGAAACAAGCAGGACATTCCGATTGCTGAGAGGCACAGAATCCAGCACGGTGCCCCTCAAGATGTTGTTGGATCCCAACTCCCACCGCCGCAGCCCAGGTTCCTGGAAAGTTGGCTGCTGCTGCAGCAGGAAGGTTGATGGGGTGCAAACACGCTGGCAGGAGCACCAGATTGTTTCCACCGGTGCAGCTGCACTGCGCGGACCTCCTTGTCCTCTCATCCCTTCTGGCAAGCAACGGTGACCCCGCTTGGTCGGGAGTGAGTATAAAGGTTCTGCCTCGCCTGATGAGCAACTTCTGGAAGCAGCCATTTAGAAGAGACAATTATGCCCCTGGCTCAAGTTTTCTTACCAACTGCCACGAGTGTGACAGAGCTGCAAGGATTCTTCCGCATTGCACAGAAAACTTAACTTCTGCAGAAATACCCAAGAGACCCTGATTAAGCCTGAAAATGGGTCAGTTTATTTAGCTATGACCCACATCTTCAAGACTTCAGAAAGTTGGCTACACATTAAACCAGAGGTCTGCAACATGGTGCCCGCAGGTGCACAGGTGGCCTCAGAGGCCTTCCCTGGTACCCCCTAACCCCCAAAGTTAGGCTTGAGAGGAGGATACACTATTAATGGGATCTGCACCGGCTGGCAACTGGTTTAAGGTTTTTATTGCTGGAATATCAACCCCCAAACTGCCTAGGACCTGCTCACATCTTGCCAGAGCATCCTACCCAAACCCTTAGACCAACACGTGACGCACTTGTGTGAGTGCCACACCCCCCAAGCATTTTAACAAGTAACTGGAGTAGAGCTTTGCATCAGCCATCAGTCCAGTGCTGAGGGCCTTCTGGCGGTTCCCTCGCTGCGAGAAGTGAGGTTACAGGGAACCAGGCAGAGGGCCTTCTCGGTAGCGGCACCCACCCTGTGGAATGCCCTCCCACCAGATGTCAAAGAGAAAAACAACTACCAGACCTTTAGAAGACATCTGAAGCCAGCCCTGTTTAGGGAAGCTTTTAATGTTTAATAGATTATTGTATTTTAATATTCTGTTGAAAGCCGCCCAGAGTGGCTGGGGAAGCCCAGCCTGATGGGCGGGGTATAAATAAATAAATAAATTATTATTATTATTATTATTGTTATTATTATCATCATCAAAACCTTGAATATGCATACAGCACAGGGACTGATGCTTTTTAACGTTATGCTCATTGGTGGGTGAGGGCACGAACCGTGGTAGCCCAGTACACGTCTATGTTTCTAGAATGCAAGCTGCAATTCACTATTAACAATATTTGATGGAAATAACCTTGTTTTTCATTGCAGTCCCACCCAAAGGAAGTGTGTTACAGCCCCTCTGGAAGATGCTCTGGCTCAGATTTTGGGGAGCCTCCAAAGAAGAGGAGAATTGGAAAGGAAAGAACAGGAATGTCCAAAAACAGAAAACAGCCTACAGCACTCCCCGCCCCCATGTGCCATTAGAATATCTAACGGGGGCCACTTACCACTGGATATATGAATGGTTTTCTTCCAGAGTTACATAGTCGTTATGCCACATCTCAAGGAGATCTTCAATAAGGAGGCCTAGAAGAGGATGGGAAACATAAGAAGGGTCTAAAATTAGGTACAGCATCTAAATGGAGAGATTCCCCCACTGTTATTAATTGAATTTATACGCTGCCCTTCCTCCCGAAGATGCCCAGGGTGGCAAACAGATACTCAATTCAAAACAAAACCCAAGCAAAACTTTCAAACACAGCTAAAACATTCCAAAAACAATTAAAAACATCTAAAGTCAGTTGCAGTTATATAATAAACAGCAATCCTGGGGATGCCAGGAATAGTATTCTGCAGCCACCAAATGCCTGGGTAAAAAAATAGGAAGGACCCCTGGACAGTTAAGTTCAGTCAAAGGGGACTTATGGGGTTGCAGCGCTCCTCTCACTTTCAGGCTGAGGGAGCCGGTGTTTGTCCACAGACAGCTTTCTGGGTCATGTGGCCAGCAGGACCAAAATGCTTCTGGCACAACGGAACACTGTGACGGAAACCAGAGCACACGGAAATGCTGTTTACCTTCCCACCACAATGGTACCTATTTATCTACTTGCACTGGCATACTTTTGAACTGCTAGGTTGGCAGGAGCTGGGACAGAGCAACGGGAGCTCACTTTGTTGTGGGGATTCGAAGAACCACCAACCTTCTGATCGGCAAGCCCAAGAGGCTCCGTGGTTTAGACCACAGCGCCACCCATGTCCCTTTGACACTGGAGGGAGGGAGATTCAGAATGGGCAAAACAGCTTCTTCACACAGTGCAAAAACTATAGGATTTGCTGCTACAAGAGGCAGCAATGGCCACTGACTTGGGTGTCGTGAAAAGAGGATTAGACAAAATTATGGAGGACAGAGCTAGCAATTGGCTACCAGCCATGACGGCTGTGCTGTACTTCCACAGTTGGTGGTCATATGCCTCTGAATGCCAATTGATGGAGGCTTCAGGAAAAGAGAATCAGAGTTGGAAGGGACCCTCAGGATCATCTAGTCCAACCCTCTGCAATGCAGGAGGATTGAACCTGCAACCTCGGCGATATCAGCACCATGCTCTAACCAACTGAGCTATCCAGGCTGAGAGTACTTGTGTCCCCCGCTTACAACCCTGGAGAGCTGCTGCCAGTCCGTGCAGGCAATACTAAGTTAGATGTGCCAATGGCCTGACTTGATACAATGCAATTTCCAGTGTTCCAAGCCGTGTGGATTTCCCAGGCAATCTCCACCACTCAGGGAATTACTGCATGGCTGACCTATCCTGGTGTATTGTGAGGAAGAATTCATAAACACCTGCGGGAGAGACAGAGGCCTTTTGCCCCAGGAAAAGAGAGAACGAAACCTGCTCCTTGCAACAGCAGAATGCAACGGGTTCCCTTTTACAGATTTAATTTTGCCTTCCAGGGGGAACAGCTGTAGGAAATATATACAGGCCTTCAATCATTTCTGCAGGAACAGGCATAAATAAATAGCGTTCTAAAAACCAAATACAATTCACTCCCATGTCAAGGGCCAGTGGGGGGGGGGGGAGCAAGAGCTAACATTTGCCTTGGGGAAAAGAGAGAATAATATCAAAAGCCATACCATTAGGCTGAAAACTCATCTCGTTTTTGTAAAACCTCAAATTCCACATTTTCTCCTCTCTCATTTCTGTTTCTTCCAAACCCTGAGGAAGGAAGGAAGAAACATCAGTGGAGAATGTGGATGATCTATTACTGAGCTACCCCAGGAAAATCTTGACCACACACAACCTGTTGCGTGCCACACCCCTTTAGCAGACTTAATTGGGACATCAGAAATAGCCTTTTCTTTTTTTTTGGAACCAATGATTTCATTGCTGGAGAGAAGCTCCCATCACTCCTGGCCATGGGCGTGATGCTGACTGGGGCTGATGTGACAACATCTGGAGAGCACCAGGTTGGCTACCCCTGATTGGGAGGTTTCCTTTCTAAATTAAGCGCCATTCAGATCTTAGTTACGTGGATCACTGGGGGGGTTATATACCGGATCGGCGTACAATAAATGAATGGCACAGCCAGCTAGCAGTCTCTTGTTATGAACGATGATCAACACACTCTTACCGGATAATGTTGCCTGTATTTCTGCATATCTTTTGCTGCCATCCAGTTGCGACCAGCTGCGTTCTAAGAGAGAGGGGGAGCGGCGAGAGTTACGGGAGGGGCTGTGAAGCTGAATTATCCCTATAAAAAACCCTCCAGGCCACCACAAAAGCCAATGTAGTCCTTCCATATTGACAATGCAAAGTGCAAAGTTACTTAGATTGAAGGGAGCAAAATTCCAGAGAAGCCTGGATAGCTCAGCTGGTTACAGCGTGGTGCTGAAAACGCCAAGGTTGCAGGTTCAATCCCTGTATGGGACACTTGAATATTCCTGCACTGTAGGGGGGTTGGACTAGATGATCCTCAGGGTCCCTTGAAACTCTAGAATGCTATGAAAATCTATTTTAGATGCAGTGCTCATGTTTAGTGGACGATAATGATAATAATAATAATTTATTATTTATACCCTGCCCATCTGGCTGGGCTTCCCTAGCCACTCTGGGCGGCTTCCAACAAAATACAGTAATCCATCAAACATTAAAAGCTTCCCTAAACAGGGCTGCCTTCAGATGTCTTCTAAAAGTCTGGTAGTTATTTTTCTCTTTGACATCTGGTGGGAGGGCGTTCCACAGGGCGGATGCCACTACCGAGGAGGCCCTCTGCCTGGTTCCCTGTAACTTGGCTTCTCACAGCGAGGGAACTGCCAGAAGGCCCTCGGCACTGGACCTCAGTGTCCAGGTAGAACAATGGGGGTGGAGACGCTCCTTCAGGTATACTGGACCGAGGCCATTTAGGGCTTTAAAGGTCAGCACCAACACTTTGAATTGTGCTAAGAAACGTACTGGGAGCCAATGTAGGTTTTTTCAAGACCTATGTGGTCTCGGTGGCTGCTCCCAGTCACCAGTCTAGCTGCCGCATGCTGGATTAGTTGTAGTTTCCAAGTTAGCTTCAAAGGTAGCCCCACATAGAGCGCTTTGCAGTAGTCCAAATGAGAGATAAGCAGAGCATGCACCACTCTGGCGAGATAGTCCGGCTCGCCACATACTCTCATACTCTTGGCATTACTAAATCAGCAGGCCTATGCTCAGTGAAGGCACAGGGGTGACTTTTATGGGGTTCTGCACCCTCCCCCCCACACCCTGCTCTGGGAACCACCACCCTGCCCCAGATATGGCCCCAAGTAAGTTGCTCCAAGCAGGGTGATCGATCTTGGTTGCTGTTTGCAGAGTATCACCTGCAGGCTGCAGAATTCCTCGCTCACCTCAACAGAGTGGCTGGGGAAACCCAGCCAGATGGGCAGGGTATAAATAATAAAATTATTATTATTATTATCAACAGCTGTGATCCAAGGCAGGGAGTCATCAGGCAGGAAGGAGAGTGCAAGGCAGGCTGGAAGTTGGGTCTGGTCCTTGGATTTTTCGCTGGGCTTTCACGGCCTGCTCCCCAACAGCCACGGATTGCTCAGGGCCCTCCAACCCGACCCACAGCAAACCATGGTTGTCTGAACCCGACTCGCCCAACTCCCTCTGAATAGGCCTGATTCGGCTCAGGGTGGGGCTGAATCCGGTGCACAGCACTAGTGATGTGGATGCCATGGGGAGAGAATGCCATTGGCGTGCTTTGCCATACATTTACTGAACATAGGGCTGCTTTGCTAGAAGAGAGCTTGAGGCTTGGGCTTCCTGCTCAATTGCCAACCTTGCCTCTGTGTATCAACTCTCTGCACAGTTTGTAAGCAGACCGCCATGGCTTTATTTTTAGCATCCCACATCACGGAACAAGCAGTCAGGTTCCATGAATAGTGAAACCTCAATCAGGGTAGCTGAATCACTGCATGCCAAATGGTTTACTGGTTCACTCCCATCATGCTCTCAAGTGATATTTTTACGGGAAGCCATGCCCTCAGAGTTCTCCTTGGCCGAGAGCCACATTCTCTTCTGCGCAAACTTCTGAGGGCCACAGCTCAGTTGGATAGAGCATGGTGCTGATAATGCCAAGGCTGCAGGTTCAATCCCCGTACAGGACAGCTGCCTATTCCTGCATTGTAGGAAGTTCGACTAGATCAGGGTTTGTCAAACTTGGGTCTCCAGCTGCTTTTGGACTACAACTCCCAACATCCCTAGCTAGCAGGACCAGTGGTCAGGGATGCTGGGAATTGTAGTCCAAAAAGAGCTGGAGACCCAAGTTTGGGAAGTCTTGGACTAGATGAACCCAAAGGTCCCTTTCAGGTCCAAGTGAGTGGAACAGGAAATGTAAATCTGACCCCTGGGCAGCAGGTTAGTTTCTATGCGTGTGTGTGTGTGTGCACACACACACACACACACACACACACCTCTCTCTCCCCCCCCCAATGCCTCCACCAAGAAGCATCAGTAGAGTTCAAGGAGGACAAGTTCCATCCTGGCAAAAACATATGGGGTGGGATGCAGGGCCAGTGACAGGTCTGGCCTGGGGACAGTTCCAAGGGCCAGACAGAGAGACATTTGCTGCTCAGTGTTCAGGCTCCCCTACCCTCGCACTGGACTAACGTGGCGAGAAGAGGCACCCCAATAACGGGAAGGGTGACAACATCCACACGAACACATGCTGCAAGAGAATGGCCATGATGCCTTCTTATTAAAGGGACAAGTGCAACTTTTGCACCACTCTCCTCTACAGTACTGTGGTACCTCGGGTTACAGAAGCTTCAGGTTACAAACTCCGCTAACCCAGAAATAGTACCTCGGGTTAAGAACTTTGCTTCAGGATGAGAACAGAAATTGTGCAGCAGCAGCAGCAGGAGGCCCCATTAGCTAAATTGGTGCTTCAGGTTAAGAACAGTTTCAGGTTAAGAACGGACCTCCGGAATGAAATAAGTACTTAACCCGAGGTACCACTGTACATAAGTTTGCAAAGCAACTATGCTATTTGATGTCTTGCCTCCTACCCTTCCTCGTACAGAGCTCATAGAAGGTGGCTAACAATGGTCCTACAAAAATTTAATGGGTCTTAAGGCCTGAACAAAAATGGTATTGGAGAGGTGGGGCAACCAGAGGGGAGATTGGGGTCTTGAGCCTCGTAAGGCTTTTATAGATCAAACCCAACAATTCCAACTGAGCCCGGAAACTAATTGGTAGCTACTGGGCCTAACAAGCTACTTCAGCCTTTATAGTTTAGATTCTTTGCAGTTCAAAACTGGTTCTTCAGCTCAGGAAGGCATGAAAACAGCAAGATCACCAAACTTGCTCACTTGCATTGGATCAAACAGCCAAAGGCTACAGGAGAAGACCACACAGTCCAATTCTTTAAAAGGCACAAAACTAAAAAAAAGAAAACACCTACCGTGCGTTTTCTAAAGCTCACGGAGGCAAGGTTTGGCCGTTGCCACTCCTGCAGAGAGAAAACAGGACATTTAAAGGTTTTAGAAACATTTAGGATATTGGTATCAACAGTTAGAACGAACGCATTTCACCAACACCTGACAAAAAAACCCTCTTCATTTGGTTCATTGTGGTTCTTCGTTATTTCTCGAAATATTAAGCGGTCATAGAATTGCAAGGTCAAGAAGGGAGAGTCATATCAGTGGTGCAACTCCTATGACCACTATCAGAAAACTAAACAAGAATCAGTGAATAGTTTGTGGCAGTCTTTTCCAACCTGGAATCCCACCAGATCTGGGGACTACAACTCACATCAACCCTGATTGCTGGCTGGTGCTGATGGGATTTGTAGTCCAAAACATCTGAAACACACCAGGTTGAAGAAGATTGGTGTGTGGAATAACTCAGAAATAATATTTCTTTGTTGCTTGATGACAGTTGCATCCAAACAAACGCCTTCACAGGAACCTTTTTTTCAAGCATTGCATTCAATAGTTCTGGTAACTGGCCAAGAGTAGAAAATTTGCTTTTCTGGCCAAGGAGTGCCTCGGCCCATTATACCTTAAGGAGAGTCACCATGTCCATCGTTCAGCCTGGGCTCTGAGGTCCAGCGCCGAGGGCCTTCTGGTGGTTCCCTCCCTGCAAGAAATGAGGTTATAGGGAACCAGGCAGAGGGCCTTCTCAGTAGTGGCACCCGCCCTGTGGAATGCCCTCCCAACAGATGTCAAGGAAATAAACAACTATCTGACTTTTAGAAGACATCTGAAGGCAGCCCTGTTTAGGGAAGTTTTTAATGTTTGATGTTCTACCATATTATTTATATTCTGTTGGGAGCTGCCCAGAATGGCTGGGGAAACCCAGCCAGATTGGTGGGGTATAAATAATAAACTATTATATTATTATTTACCCGGAACATCCCATCCTGGACCAAAGAAAGTTTTGAACTTCATGAAAAAGCAGTCAATTAATTTCATACCTGGAATGGCTACCCCCCCTTTTAAATTCATGTTCGCTTATTAATACTTTCTATTATGTAGTTCTATTATGTAATGGGGATGTTTAACTCCCAGTTTGAAACCAGATATGGCTTCCAAGCAATTTTTGTGTGTGACCCACCCCACTAATTTTGACAGCAGCAGCAGCAGCAGCAAGAAAAGCAACACAGATACAGAACTGGGAGGTGACTCTCCTACTCAGCTGATCTGGGTGTATCAGCCAAAAAGCAGATTGGTATTAAATTTGGCATCTACACCAGCAGTCCTGACCTTTTCAGGTTGCTTCCTAAGAATCAGTGCAAACTTAGAAACTGATATATGAGAGTGCCTTACACAGGCACTATTGTATTTCAGTTTCGTTTCTTGCAAGTTGCACAGCAAAACCAAATCCAAATATTAGTTTCCATTTCTCTGTTATAGGAGATGCAAGATATACCTGAAGGAGCATCTCCACCCCCTCCGTTCAGCCTGGACTCTGAGGTCCAGCTCCGAGGGCCTTCTGGCAGTTCCCTCCCTGCGAAAAGTGAGGTTACAGGGAACCAGGCAGAGGGCCTTCTCAGTAGTGGCGCCCTCCCATCATATGTCAAGGAAATAAACAACTATCTGACTTAGAAGACATCTGAAGGCAGCCCTGTCTAGGGAAATTTTTAATGTTTGATGTTTTATCATGCTTTTAATATTCTGTTGGGAGCCGCGCAGAGTGGCTGGGGAAACCCAGCCAGATGGGTGGAGTATAAATAATTATTATTTTCTTGCGGCCCTTTCTTTCTCTTTTCCCCTAGGCTGAAGAAACAGAATAGGTCTACTCACCTTCAATATCCAATGGGAGTTGATTTATTAAAAGGAAGGCTGGATAAGCTTTGTTTGCACATGACACTAAACTGTAGTTAAAAACAAAGCATGGTTTAATGTGAATGAGCAGAGTGCTTTCATTTGTTCCTCCCCTGCTCCTGTTGAGCTGGGGAGGGAACAAACTAGAAGCTGACCGCACTTTACATATGTAACCCAGTATTCATGGTTTGTTTCTCTCCACACAAACCAGGAGTGCTGGTTCACACGTAATATGATACCAGCCTGTGGCTTGCTCCTTCGCCAATACTGTGACAGTGGGAGCAGGGGAGGAGCAAAGTTTTGTGCAGCGTGCAACAAATAGCTGGCCATTTGCATTAAACCACAGCTTATTTTTAACTATGGTTAAGCATTAAAGTGACATGTGAAAATGCATAAAATAAGAAGTAACAGACTTATTTTTAAAAAGTTTCATAATTATGCAACTATCGCCTAGTAATTTTTTTTTTATTTTTTTTTACCATGGTATTAACTGTTTCATCTGCTGGGTTTAAGGTTTCTTGGGCTGTGTTTTCTGCTTTGTAATGTAACTTTGGTTGTAAAAGTTTTATTGTGAAATGCACATCATTGTTTTTTTTTAAATCATACTGTACATCATCATTCCGTACCTTACTGTGAATGCCCCCAAGAATTCAGCTGGATGTGTGGTATATTAATGTAATAATAATAATAATTTATTATTTATACCCCCGCCCATCTGGCTGGGTCTCCCCAGCCACTCTGGGCTGCTCCCAATCAAATATTAAAAACACAATACAGCAATAAACATTAATGTAATGAATTAGAACGGTGGTTAATGTTTTGGGTTTCAACTAAAACACAAAATGTTTCTATAAACTGCTGCATTAGCCAAGCAATTAAAAGATGGCTGGCCTAGAACCTTTCTTCCCAGGGGGAAACTTTTCTATATATATTTTTAAAAAATGACAAGTGAGCTTTCAGAAGTGTGACCGCACACCTTCCGCATTCTGAAGCAGAAGGCTTCTGCGATGCAAGGCCTGCCATTGAAAAATCTGGGTTCAAGATGCCAGTTAAGCCAAAAACTCCTTTGAGCGTCCTTAGGCAAACTCCATTGCCCAGCTTCCCACAACCCTAGCCTAGAGCAGAAAAATATAAATAAATGAGACAACCACTGAGAGTGTTCCTGCAATTAGGAGGAAGGAACAGGACAGTTAAAAACACCTTTGCACCCTCCCCAGCACCACTATAAGCGCTTAATAACAGTATCTAGCCATCGCCCAACTTCCTGTATCCCCGCAGGTTTGGGAAACGCTGGAAAAGAGACCCCTTTGCAAATGCAAGGATCTGCAACAAGACGTGCGCCCGACCCTTTGAGGCCGAGGGAGACGGGAGCAGCGTCCCGTGCCCGGCTGGCACTCTCTCAAATATTTCTGATCGTGGAGACGTCTAAGAGAGGGCTTTTCGTTTCTGTTTCCCCGGGAGGGAGAGGTCGAGTTACGTAAGGCGAACGGTAACAGTGATCTCCCTTCCGATCACGCCGCCCCTCCCCACATTAACAGCCGCAAACGAGCCCCTTCTGAAAAAAACACCACCACGTTGGGAAAGAAATCGTGCGCTGCAACCTCTCCAGTAAATGGATTTATTTATATGCGCTAAACAGGCAGCCCTGTTTAGGGGAGCTTTTAAGGTTTAATAGGTTATTGTATTTTAATATTCTGCTGGAAGCCGCCCAGCCAGACGGGTGGGGTATAAATAATAAATTATTATTATTATTATTAGAGCGCGCGCACACACGACCCCCGCCCTTGCCTCCTTCTCTGCAGAGACCCGGAAGGGATCAAAGACCACTTTATATCCAACCCCCCCCCCCAAAGCCATAGGCAAAGACCCTCACCTGGCTACCGGAGGGCGACCACCAGCCTGGGCTGCTGCTGGGCTGGGGCTTCTCTTGAATTCCTGCGTCTTTGTCAGCGGCTGGAGCCGCCCCCGAGTCCTTCCTCCCCACATCTCCCTCCAGTTGCCTTCCACCTTCTTCTTCTCCTCCCTCCTCCTCTTCTTCCTCCTCTTCCCAGGTGGAATCGTACTCCCATAATCCTTCCTCCTCTTCTTCTTCTTCCTCCTCCCCCTCCTCTTCCTCGCCTGCTCGGTCCTCCTCCTCCGTCCCCCACCGCCATTCCGCCATCCTCGCCGAAGAAGACGCGCGCAAGAAAGGAAACCGAAAGAAAAGCGGATGCAGCCGCTGCACCGGCGGCGAGGGAGAGGAGGAGGAGGAGGCGGCGGCGATGCAAAGCGAAAGGCACGTGGGAGGAGGAGGAGGAGGCGGGGGCGGCCGCGGGTGGCCCCACCCCGAGCTGCTCTCTCATTGGCCGGCGAGCTCTCCTTCCGAACGTTGGGGACCCGATGGAACGCGGGCGCAGAGTCGAGACTGTTTTATCAATGACGGCGCCCGTCTACCGGGAAACGGCGGGCGACCTTGCAAGGCTGGCGCCGCCTTAGCCGCGCGCTCCTCCTCGTATATACGCCTCACTTATTTTCAATGCGCGCGGATGGAGGGGCTTTTTTTTTTACAGCCCGCGTCGGAAGGGAGTTCCACTCTGTTCCCTTCCCAATACTGTATACACACAGGATGTGCAGCCTCAGGCCACAATACTAGGAGATAATCAAATCTACTGGGACTAAACCGATGTTTTTGTTATTTATCCATAGCCACTCCTGTGGATTATTTCTCAAACGAAGAGGGGGGGTTCAAAATGTTAAATAATCTGGTTTTTTCCTGTGATTATTACTACCATGATGCTGTGTAAATTTTTCTTTTTGATGTTGTACGCCACCCTGAGATCTTTGGATAAAGCTCAGCATATTAATTAAATAAATTAATAGTTTATCTGGAGATTGGGGTGTTCAAAGTGCCGTACAACGAAATCAAAGGGGGTGGGTAATAATGGTTGAAAAGGCAAAACACCCCACATTTTAGAAGCAAAACAGCTCATCGGGCCCAAACATCCCAGGAAAACCATTACAAACAGCCACTTTTTTTTCCTAAGACAGTAGGAAGAATATGGATAGGTATGGTAAGGCTGAGAGTGTGGCATCCTAGGGAATGTTGAGGTAGGCCACTGTATTGTTACAGGATTGGTGGGTCGGTTTGGATGATGTCTGGGGGCCCCAACCAAGGCTGTGATTTTGCCTCTGTAAGATGGCAGTTTGTAGTAGAAGGGACTGCTGAAATGGCAAAGTCAGTGGTTTGTTTGTTTGTTTGTAGTTTGCATGCCCAAGAGAGTTGGTCAAAAACAAATGTGTTAAGGGCTGCCAAACGTCTGGGTTTTCCCAGACATGTCCAGGAATTGGACTTTCAAAATGGCATCCGGGTAAAATGTCTGGGAAAACCTGGATGTATGACAACTAGGGCACAAAAAAACCCACCCACCCACTTTTGGGAATATGGCAACCCTAGATGTGTTGCCATAGAAACTAGCTAGCTAGTGATGCTTTCAGGAGGAGAGCATGTGCCTTTTCCCCTCTCACTTCGCTGGATGAGGAGTAAGAATAGGCCAGGAGCCAGCTTTTGTCTAGGCCTATTCTGGAGCTGGGCCGACACAGCGGCTAGACTTGCCCTGTGTGCTAAAACCAAAGCTGTGACTTTACGGGGAAACCTCTTCTCCCCAAGAATCCTCATGGGGAAAGGAAGATATTTTGAAAAACGTTGAGACCTGCCGTCTCATGCTCAAGTTGCATATATGGGCAAATAAAACCATATACCCTAAACACATTTCCAATGACTTTCATTTCAAGGAGGCCAACCCCTGCTGAAGCACTGGAACCCTTGAAGTCTCTTACCACTCAGAGACTGGGGTGTGTATAACAAGAATTCGGCTTTCCTTAATTTTGAAAAAAGTGTTATGCTTAGAGGTACCTCCTTTTGTGGCCCCCTGAATCTTCCTTGCCAATTAGTTTCACTGATGACTCATAGTTCCTAGTATCTCTCTGTGTGGGAGGTAGGATTATATCCACTGCCTCACCATACTATGAAAACCAAAATATTTCCCTGTGAACAGACAATACAGGCCATGCCTGTACCATGACCGCCAGGATCCGTCCAAGGTTTAGCAAGAACTTGAATTTCCCACTTGATTATGAAGCTCACTGGATTACCTTAAACCAGACACATGCTGTTGACCAATTTATCTTACAGAATCAGAAGATAAACCAGGGAAACAAAATAGTTGTGATTATATTCTTTGTTCCATCCTAGATTATGATGATGATAATTTTATTAAATTCATCCATAGATCTTAGGGCAGTTCACAACATAAAATTACAGTATAAAAACACTATATATAATGAATGAACAAAAACAATCCACTAACACGCCCCCACCCCCGAGATTTAAAAGGACACTGGATGTCAGTCAACCAAAGGCCTGGCTGAAGATTGTATTTATTATTATCATTATTACCTCCCATCCAGCCACTGACCAGACATGAACCTCTTCAGCTTTAGTCTGAATCATGTTCCTTTAAAATAAGCTATGTGCAGACCCCAAATCTTCCTTCTTTCTTCTTTGGCGATCGCTTGTAGCCAACTAAGATTGTCTTCCATGGATGTCGTCTTAACAGAGGGTCCGTAAGTGACTGTGAAGGCCAATTCTGGATCCAACACATCCTTCCACAGTGGGGACATAGGTTTCTAGGCGGGAGTTGATCATGGTCAGAGTTTGCCAAATGCACCTTCCTCTTAGCTTGTTTCTCCTTTTCGCTGTGAGTTTGGGCTTGTTCAAAGTCCATGACACCTTTGGTAAAGGCTGTTCTCCAACTGGAACGCTTGCAGGCCAGTGTTTCCCAGTTATCAGTGCTTATACCACATTTTTAAAGATTTGCCTTGAGAGAGTGTTTAAACCTCTTTTGTTGTCCACCGGTATTTCACTTTCCAATCTTAGTTGGAAATAGAGTAGTTGCTTTGGAAGACGATAATCAGGCATCCGCACATGACCTGTGCAACGAAGTTGATGTTGAAGAATCATTGCTCCGACATTGGTGATCTTTGCTTCCTTCAATACACTGACATTTGTTCACCTGTCTTCCCAAGTGATGTGCAATTTTTTTCGGAGACACTGTTGAAAGAAGCTTTCGAGGAATTGGAGATGGCATTTATAAGTGGTCCATGTTTCACAAGCGTACAGTAAAGTTGGTAGTGCAACAGCTTTGTAAACAAACATTTTGTATTCCTGCGAATGTCCCAGTCCTCAAACACTTGAGATTCAATCGTGAGAAAGCTGCACTTGCAGAGCTCAGGCGATGCTGGATTTCAGCATCAATGTCGGCCCTTGTAGAAAGGTAACTGGCCAGGTAGGAAAAGTGATTGACAATTTTCCAACATTACACCACTGAGTTGGATTTGTGGCGCTGCAGAGGGGTTGTTTTGTGCTTGTTGGTGCAGCACTTTGGTTTTTTTGGATATTGAGCGATAAGCCAAGCTTTCCGTAAGCTTCTGCGAAGATATTTAGGATAGTTTAGCTAAACAGGGTATATTAATAAACAAGCAAAAATAATGCTGAAGCTTACATTATATGCGGAAAACAAGCCACCCTCCAGTTGGCTGTGCTGATATTATCTATGCTGCTAGAACTGTAACAAAATCAATAGGTAAATCAGAGGCCAAGCTGCGTTGTTTTAAGATGTTGCACTCACTGCTGCTACAGAATCATCAAAGACAGGTGCCCAAACTTTCCTTTCACCAAAAAACTCGAAAAGGAACAGTCAGCTTTCTCTAGAATTGACAGAAATGTCTGTGTCAGATCTTTGCTTCTAACAGGAATTTACACTATGTGCACACTGGAGGAGAAGAAAAAGCTGAACCAATAAAATTTACTTGACAATTTGAAAGGCTCATACAGGTTATAAAAATAAATTCACAGGCATCTTAAGGGACCGGCTTAAATTATTGAATTGTTCTATCTAGGCTTCCACAGTTAGTCAAACTATATTAAAAGAACTTTGTCAACTTCAATATGATCTAGCAGTGTATAAATCTTCAATGTTGGCCTTTCCCCAGCTAAGGCTCCACAAGAGTTAAAAATAATGTCAATGTTTTGGTAGAATCTAGGCACTTTGTGCTTAAAACCTTATATGATCTGAATGTATATATTATAAAAATAGTTAAAATGTGTTCATTTTCCAGAACTTTACATAATTTGTGGACTCGTTCTAGAATGGAGAATGAGTACTTGAGCTCTTGCAGGACATGACATGTAGAGAGCCTGAGAAGTAGGGAGTTAGCAATTCAGGGTACTAAAATTCCACACTGTTGAATACTTAAGCCCTTTTTAGGCAATGCTCCTGAAATAAGAGCCTCTATATATATGCGCTGCTGTACATGCTCACCATGTGCATCCTGTTTTAGCTGCTCCGTTCTCCCATTGAAGTAAATGGAGGAAGCCCTTGCATTGACGCAAAGGTTAACTGTTCCAGAAACCCTTCCTGCAATCCCTATCCTGGAAGTCAAGATAACCCCACAATTAATTGGTAGTTGCTGTAACAATGAGCTCATACATGTTTATATTCACTTGCTTTGATATAAGCTAATTGGCATGCTTTGATGCTATCCTTATCTGTGGAGGGCTTGGGGTGCTGGGCTCTGAGCCCAGAAAGTGGAACTGTCTGTAAGATTAGGGCATTTGCACCTATGTCCTCATCTGGTGATGGGAAGTCCTGACCCATGACGTATGCTACCTTGTGTATAAAGAATGTATTAATGTCTGCTTGGACAAGCCATCTGCTTGCTGCGGTGTCCGTCCCATATCTCTGAGAGGCCTGGCAGGCTGATTTGCTGCAAGTCTACAGCTTTCTTTAATAAAGTACTAAAACTGATCCCTCTGGTGTTTTTAACACCCTTCTTTGATATCCCTGCACCAAACCACTCCCACAAGTCCTCCTTTGGGCCTGCGGTTCACAGCAGCCCTTGTGTACAAGGCGCTTAGGGTAAGCATGGAACTGCTGGATTGGACAACTGCCCTCAAAACTATCAGGGCTGGGGGTGGGCGGTGGGAAGCAATTGTTAGAAATCTTTATCCTCTGATCACAAATCACACTCCATGTGCAATTCAAAAGCACATGATAGCAACTCTGTACCATGGCCTTCATTATAATTACAGAACAACCTGACGCTAAAATTCATCCTAGGCCTAATTCTCACAGATGACATGGAAAAACCTACAGAGTTTTATTTCTTCATCTGATGTTTGTGATGAATCTTAGTTAAGAAGCTGGGATAAAGGGAAGATTGATTCTTGTCTAGAACAAAGCTAACTTGGTATATGCAGTAGAATGAAAGTGTTTGCTATATCCCTGATAATTAGGATGAGAGACACTGCAATATGAAGCATGGGCTGGAACTCTTTATTGCATAGCAAAGGATAATACAAATGCATAACTCCGTAGCTTTTCAGCTACCTTTTCATTCCTTTGCTTGTTTTGTTTTTCTTTATAAAATACATGTTTCCCAACTTCACTAAAATAAGAGGAAATTTTACTATCTGATCATCAGGAAATGATGAATAACTGGATCTCTGGTTTTAGCAACTTTGCATACAAATCCAAAACATTAAGTGAAAACTACTTCTGAAAGTAGAGTAACAAGACAAAATTATCATTTTCAACACTTCCATTTAAGAACTCCTGGCAAAAATAATGTTTTGTTTTTTTCAAAAAAAGGAATTAAATAATGAATATAAAATACATACATACATAAATATATATATATTTGTCCTGATCTGGCAAATCCCTCTCATGCAAGTGATTTCACTTACTTGAATGGAAGTGCTCACATTGAAGACTTTGCAGCTAGGACATTAATATAGTACAAGTGGTTAAGACAAGAGTCACCATTTCTTCTACTCTTACCAGTTTGTGCTGAACCTTCCAATATACATATGACATTTTCTTTTAAGCCTCCTTAGAGAGAATATGTAGCCCAGATATGAGGAAATTGTTCATCCTGGTTTTAAGATGTTTAATGACCTTTGTTCTGCTTCGGCAATCTGAAAAAATAAATGTACACCTCCAGTTTGGAAGAGGCAAAGCTGATCATAATTTAAGCAAAGAATGCTCCTTCTTCATTTTGCAGGCGGTGTGTATTTTTTGCATGCTTATTCAGCCAGAACCAGTGGCATTTGGAACTAATTCTCACAGAACAGTAACCGACTTAAGACACTTATTACGTCACTAAAATTAGCAGCTGCAGCTCAAGATACAAACATCACCCAAGGTTGAAACCAGCCATTCAAGAACCATGGTCCTGTGTTTCCATGAATGGTTGTCCCAAGAGGGATGTTTAATACGTAGACTGGAATTCAATGTTGCGTTCTTCCAATCATTCTGTCTCCGCAAGAATTACAGCTTGCCTGATGGAATGATCCCCCCAACTCCTCGCAAACAAGAAACTGGGTTCTCATTTTGGAAGGCATGTGAAGGAAGGAGAGCGGGAAAAGTCCCACTGTGTAAGCAGCCCTTGTGCTGGGCTTCCCCTAATGGGGCTGGTTAGGTGAATCCCATTCAAGAGTGTGCAACTGGTATGTAAAAAAAAAAAAGCCACATCCTGACTTTTTCAGTAAACACACGTTCTTAAGGCTGCCAGCTTCCCATGCATCCCAAAGTTGTAAGGCTAAAGATACTGTTCAGCTCCTTTCCGCCGCTCTATGCTAACCAATAGCCCAGGCATTTATCTCTCATTTCCACCCCATTGTGCTAACTAGACTCTAAAATCTCCTTGCTGCCTAGGCTCCACTGTTCAAACATGCTTATGCCTTGCTCAGCCATTGCTTATGTTCTGCGCCGTTTTGCAGCACTTGGACTGGAAGGATTGCTATTTGCATTCAAAACCTTCTCAGTGACTCTGTTCCGCTTTCTCTTATCTGCTCCTTCTTTTGATCCAGATTCAGACGAGCTTCTCTCTTTCTCCTTACTGCTTGGTTTCTCAGATGCTTTGGCCAGGCTTCCCATAGATGCATATACTGAAAGAGAATTAAATGAAAGATTATGCATCAAATGGCATCCATCGCATTATGGCCATGATCCAAGGCAGAGTCAGGTGCATGCGAGTCCTGCCCAATGGTCAGGTGGGCCAACTTTTTTTAAAAAGGAAATACAAGCTCTTTGCAGAAGCACACTCAACTCACTTTAATTATATGGGCAGAAATTCTAATAGAAAAATGCCCCTGATTAAAGCTACAAAACAAAATATTAAAGGTCTGATCTGGAGTTTGTCTGCCCCATGAAAATACCTCTCAGCCCCTGATCTTGGGGTTGCCTTGGAACAATATTCTGAACACTTCTGAAAGAACTGGGGATGCTCCCAGGAGTCTCATGATCACATTTTTGCAAACCACTTTGATGCTTTCCCTTACAATTATGTGGTATATAAATTTTATGAAATAAAAAATAAAGAATCATGAAAGCATAGATGGAACAAAACTGAAGGAGCACTTCCAAAAACCAAATGCGCTGTTTCAATATATGTTCACTGGTTGTGGCAATGCATTTGCAGAAATCCTTAGCTCTGTGACTATTAGAAGTGCACCTGAACCTTTCCAAAAGAATGAAGGGAATTATCTTCAAGGTGCTTTCAAGAAGGTTCTCGGGTATCCGGCACATGGGCACCCCTGACCCCCACAAACCATAAAGACACTGCCAATCAAAACAGCAGGCCCAAGACAAAAAAGATCATGCCAAATTATTATTATTAATTAAGTTTACTTGGCACCTTTTCCTACAAAAGTAACTCAAGGTGACTTAACAAAAATAAATAAATAACACATACATTACAGCCAGCATAAAACAAAACAAGAAAAAACATAAAAACACAATTCGGAACTCATTCTTGTGAGAATCAGAATGTGGACCTCTTTTCTCCCCACTTCTGATTTAGAACTAACCCAACTGTAGAGGAACCGGCTATATTTCACAATCCAGTAGCGGCAATTTTCTCTGTACTATCCTACCTTGTTAGAATATGGTAGCTGGAACCAGGACCCACATGTGACGTGGCTGAAAATCAGGTTCCAGAACACTGTGGCCCCATTAGTTTGTTTAAATTGGTTTAATTATGAATGACTCTCCACCCCAGATTTCAACTAGAAATAAGCCAAGAAATAAACCCTTGGCTTATTTCTACCTTGCCACTTGTGGTTTGTTTGAAACAAAACAAGTCACAATCTGAGTTATAGTGACAAAAAGCAGTGTGCTGGAGATCAGTGCAGTTGCCCAGGGTGACGGTAGGAAGGAACATTTGTGATTAAACCAGAGATCAAAACAAACTATGGCTTAAGAGTGATGAGCGAACCAGGCCTATGGATGACACATCATTTTCATATGCTAAAATGAATAACTCATACCTTCTTCAGGACCTGCGTGCGATTCCATCTCTTCCTTTATCTCTTCTTTCACATCATCTTCAATCATCACTTTACCTGTGGGAATGATTATGAGTGGAGTGATGGTGAAGATGGCACTGATTCAAATTCAATTTCCTCTTTACTTCTCCAGGCATGCTCATGGCAGCAATATGCACTGAATTAAAGGGATCAGTCATTGCCAACAGCCCCCGGCTCCCAATAAGGCTATTTTAAATCACTTAGGAAGCAAAACTAGATTGTTTCAAGCAGTAAGCTGACAACAGCAACTGAAGTAGAAAAATGCAAAGAAATGATAAGGGAGCTATCATCTAAGCACAGATGGTGTTTCCTTTTGAAACTTGTGAATATAAATATGCAATATATTTCATATTGAGAGTACATCCACCTCAACCATTCCAAGCACTTAAAAATTACCCCTGCAAATGAGGTGTAAAGGCTACTGATTTTTGAGTGCAATCCAAACCTCAACCCCTTGTTGGCAGGAATGTGTAGAGAAGCATAGCTCTGCTACATCTGTAGCCCAGCTGCTCGTAGCAACAATTATTGTTGTTTTTTCTTGAAATCCCCATACCAGCTCCAGGTTCCAGATCAGGCCTAATGCCATTGGGTGACAGCAGTGAGACTGTCTCAGGATCTAGGAGATCCTGGGGCTGTTTGGGCCAAATTCCCTCCCTGCTCTCAAAATATCCTAAATCAGGGCTTTCTACTGGCCTACGCTGGTGAGGATTCTGCCAGTGACCTCCCACCTGCCTGTTCTGCAGCTGGCTGACTCAGCAGCTGGAGTGAAGGGCCCCTCTACTCAACTGAACCACCCGCTCAAACTGACATAAAGGGGGCTTGGACTGCTTTGTTAATATATATCTGCAAACGATTGCATTTTGTTTTTCTTTAATTTTAAACAGAATGCTCTTCCCAACAGACAGTTCTGGAATTGCTCCACTACTGAAAAGACAAGAGTACAAAAGAAAAAGAAAAAGTGGGGGGAGCTTTAAAAATATTTTAAAACCTAGCCATACCCAACTGATATCAGTTGAATCATTTCCTTAAAAATGTGAACACCCACAACCCAAATTCAGTCCAGATTCCATCAGTATTCGGTCTCATTATTCTTTTCCTGCTTACTAAAGCACCAATCAAAATTGTTCAAATGTTGTAATCAGGCTTTTGAATACATTTGTGTCTGCTTTCCAGTTTTCTTAAATAGAAGCATTAAAAAGCAATCCAGATTTGAACATCTTCAGAGACTTCATCCAGGCTTTTGGCTAATTAAACAATCTCTAGCCTTTTAAACTCTATTGGGGGGGTATTTTTGTTTGTTACTATGACATGTATTTTTGTGTTTTTATATTCTAAACCGCCCTGTAATCTTTTGATGAAGGGTGGTATATAAATATCATCATCATCATCATCATCATCCAGTGTAGTGGTTTAGGCTGCAATCCTATACACTACAGGCTAGCCAACCCCTGATGTTGCTTCGCTACAACCCCCAGCATCTCCTGCCAGCATGGCCAATGATGATTCGATTTATTATACTTCTCTGCTGCTTTTCATTCAAATGAATGCCAAAGCAGCTCACAAACAACAAATCATAATAATAACACAATAGGACATGATGGCAGTTGTACTCAAGCAACATCTGGAGGGTATGTACACTTCCTCAAGGCTACATCCCTTTAAACCGAATGGGATATATTTCTTTAAAAAATCCTATGCATCCTTGTTGGGAAGGCAGCCCCACTAAACACAACAGGACTTACCATTGAGTAAAAAGGCATCAGAGTATACTGTAAGAGACTGGGTCATGAAAGAGGAAGTCCTAGAATAAAATCTTGCCTGTGGTATATAAATAGTAAGTAATGTTGTTATTACTAAGACTGCTTTTGGGTCTCACCTTCTTTTACCTCTTGAATAATTTCTTCAGGGAGGCTGAAGTTTTTTTCTGAGTTGGGGAAGGGAAGAATCTCAGATTCATGCTTAGAAATGTTTTAAAGAGAAAGAAATCTATAAATAATTTGGTTATACCAACAATTCAGATTTTCTAAACCAAGGGTGGCTAACATGGGGCCCTCCAAACATAGCTGGACTACAACATCCATCATCCCTGACCTAGGCCACAATGGCAAGGACTAAGGGGAGTTGTAGCTTAACAACATCTGGAGGGCCACAGGTTAGCCCAACCATATGCTAAACAAATGCAAAGGTAATCGTCATCACATACAATTTATAATTATTACCCAACAACAACAAAAGAAAATATTGAAATGACCCTTCCATTTCAGGGACAACAAGGAATATATTTTATTTTGTAATGAAATTGCATAATAAAACTACAGTCATTTAAACCTGTTCATCAAGAACTAAAGAAACAAAAATCCCTGCTTAATTTTTTTTAATGTATGTTTCAGATACGCAATTTGGCATGTTCCAGGCAAGGACAGAATTGGTGTCAATTAGAATGCACAGAGCTGCCATATCAGATTCTGCAGTTATTTAAAAATGCACGTGTTTAAAAATTTCATTGGTCAACTACGTCCAAGCAAAGCAGAATAACATAAACATCGGTGAAATCAATATGTTTCAGACAATCAACTGGAAGAATAGATAATACAAATTAAACACAGCTGCTGTCCATTTGGGTTCTTGTGTATTACAATGATAAATGAAAAAGAAATATCAAAGATGGTATTTCCTTTCAGCAATGGTTTTGTGGAAGGAAGCAAAACAAAATCCAAGACATTCTTTCACTTGTACCTTGTATGAGAACTTTGGTTCCCCTAAAGAACCGTGCAGATTCTTATGCAAGTTACTGATTAGTTAAGGCACCTTCCTGGGATCATATGAAGCCTTTATGACAAACCGTAAAACTTAGATGCTAATAAGGCCTAGTTGCTGTGGACAGCAACCATGCTAACAAGGATAGCAAAGATTTAGGACATAATGCACACTGTAACCCTATCACAAGTTGCCAGGACCAGAGCATCAAACCAAACATGACCATGGCTTTTTTGGGTGTTGGACTCGGTGTGAGCAGCTTCCACAGGCCAGATGGATGCCTCAGAATCCACCTGAAGGCAGGAAAAAGCCGTTCACAAGAGATCATCTCCCTTAGGCTTTATCTGCACGTACAGAGGGAATGGGAGGATCAACAACACGGCAAATTGTTTCCCTTTAATCAGGAGCTCATGCACTAATAGGGGACACAACGGTACCCGATTCTGCTTGTGGTACATCTGCACATACGGATTGGACCTCTGACCTGTGGAGCAGGAGCATCTCAGGCACTGGCCTCAGTTTATTGGTTGGTGACACTTACCAGCGCTTGCATGTCATACATGGTGCTTAAATGGTCCCAGATGACTTTGGAAGAAATCTGCCTCCCGATATTCTGGCTGAATTTATCTCGGATGCAGATCATGTGAAAATGGCGATTCACACCTGGAATGGCAGAAGGGAGTGAGAAGGAGAAAACATACAGAGAGAGGGGTGTGTTTTGTCTTTTTTTGAAAGACTTGATTAAAATCCTGTAAAGCACTATGCGCCCTGACGGCACTATAAATGATAACTGAAATCTGGTCCCACCCTATGCCCTTCCTTGCACTAACACAGATTATTTCGGACTGCGAAGTCCTGGCGGCAGGGACCCATCTTAATGCCCTTTATCTTTCATGCTGATCATAGAATTATAATGTTGGAAGGTATCCCTAAAGGTCATTTAGCCCAACCCTGTGAAATGCAGGAATCTCAACCAAAGCATCCATGATGGGGCTACATACATCTTAAACTAGGTAAATGAGTGTTTGCAAGCTCAAAGCACACTTGCAGGTAGGAGGAATCCAGCCCTATTGAACACAGTGAGCATTAATTCTGGGTAAAAAAAGAGGGGGGAAAGCGCTATTTTGTAAAACGAATGTTAAAAGAGCACTTTAACCACCTCAGGGTATAAAAGATCACAACTAAGGGATCGAACCATTTTAAGTCTATGTACTTTTTTTTTAGAAGGAGGGTGCAGGAAATGGCTTCCAGGGCACTCCATGGATAATGATGATGATGATAATAATAATAATAATAATAATAATATCTTTACATTTGCACACCGCCCTTCACCCGCAGATGTCAGGGCGCTTCACAGCCTATATGGCGTGTGTGTCCCGTCCCCCCACCCCTCTCTATATGCCCTTTCTCCTGACAGGCGTCACCCCGCCTTCAGCGCTCTCGTCCGCGGCCGGCGCCTCTACTCGAGCCCGAGGCTCGTTCCGCGGCCTACGCCCCATCCCCCCACCCGCCGCCTTCTCCTCACCGACGGGCTTGTGGCCCAGCATGGCGTGAAAGAGGCACACCTCCACCTCGGGGCTCCACACCACCGGCACCGGCAGCGGCGGCGGAGGAGGAGGGGGAGCCGCCGCAGCCGTCATGACGGTCATCGCCGAGGCCGCTGAGGAGACGCTCGACGCCGCCGAAGCCGCTTCCTCGGGCGCCGCTTGCGGGGCGGGCTCGGACGACACGGGCGCCGCAGGCCCTGCGGCCGGGCAGGGGGCCTTCAACCCCGCGTCTGCCGCCACCGTCGCCGCCGAGCTCTCCGCTTCGCCCATGGCCGCCGCCGCCGCCGCCTCCACGGAGAGCGGGCCGGGCGAGAGCGGAGCGTCCCCTGTCGGCCGCCCTCCCCGAGGGAAGCGACCGAGGGCGGGAAGCTGAGGGGAGATCCCTCTCCGCGGGGGGAGAGGAAGAAGGTGCCCCCGGGGCTCAAGGCCTCGCTCAGGACCCGGCCTCTTTTTCCCCCAGGCGTCTTCTTCGAGCGGGAAGGGGGGGGGGATTGCACTCTGCGCCGGCTCAGGAGCGCTCTTGCCCGGGGGCGTGTTGTGTGCACGACAGCAAGCAAGCATCAAGGAAGGAAGGAAGGAAAAAAAACAGGCAAATAGACACAGAAAGAAAAGAGAAAGAAAGAAAACAAGCAGACACTAAGAAAGAAAGCAGAAAACAAGCAGATAGACAAAGAAAGAAAGAAAGAAAGAAAGAAAGAAAGAAAACAGGCAAATAGACACCAGAAAGGAAAGAGAAAGAAAGAAAGAAAGAAAACAGGCAAATAGACACCAGAAAGGAAAGAGAAAGAAAGAAAGAAAGAAAACAGGCAAATAGACACAGAAAGAAAAGAGAAAGAAAGAAAGAAAACAGTCAAATAGACACAGAGAAAAAAGAGAAAGAAAGAAAGAAAACAGGCAAATAGACACAGAAAGAAAAGAGAAAGAAAGAAAACAAGCAGACACTAAGAAAGAAAGAAAGAAAGAAACAAAGAAAGAAAAGCAGATAGAAAGGAAGGAAGGGTTCGAACGGGGGGGGGGGTACTCTTTTCCCTTTATTTTTGTTATTACATATACCTGGCATGGGAGATTGTGGACTCTCCTTCCTTGGAGGCTTTTTAGGCAGAGGTTGGGTGGCCGTCTGTCATGGATGCTTTAGCTGCACTGCAGGGGGTTGGGCTGGATGACCCTCAGGGATCCCTTCCAACTCTACATTTCTATGCCAGTTGAGAAGCCTGCCATGGAAGGAATTTTATCCCCAGAATCAGTAAAAGCTCGGCATTAAAGTCAGGATGAAGCTGGCATAATCTTTCTCTCTCTCTCTTGCTGACTGACACACTCCTTCTCACATGTGTGAGAGCGATAGATTATGTCAGATTTATCTTTGTTTTAATGCTGAGTTTTTACTGATTCTGGGGATAAAATTCCTTTCCTGGCAGGCTTCACAAGCGCCATGTGTCTGCAATAACAAAAAGAAAGGGAAACAATGCTTTCGTTCCCCTGTTCTTTATTTCTTCTCATTGTTGTGCATACAATTGTGGTAAGAGTGCTCCTGAGCAGGCGCAGAGTGCATTTCCCTCACCATCAAACAGCTCTGAGGGCAGTCACACTGTGTGGGAGAGAGTGTGTGTCTTAGGGCTGCCCCTCTCAAATATTACTGTTCTGAGTTTTAATCAGTGGCTTGATGGATTAAATAGGTGTAAATCTGCATTCAAATAAAACAATAGGCAGGGAATGGCTTTCCGTCTTTTTTGATGCAGACTAGGAGTCTAACTTCTCAGCCCTCTGTTTGAAGGGCTGTCTCCTAAGAAGGGAGAATGGGAAACGACCTTGAAATTTCTTATCCACAATAAGCATTTTGATAGCAACTGAGCAGGCATTCATGTCTCCTGGCCGTAGACTTGAGGTTTATAGTTTGTATTGAAATCATAGCACTTGTCTGCATCCTTATGTTACGTTATCATACGGAAGTTCCTTGCAAAACTGTTTCATCTTTGTGATGTGTGATGGGATGATGAGCTGCTTGTGCGTAAAATAGTATCCCCTCAGAGTTTGTTCAAGTCCACAAACCTCTGTCTGTGACGGAGCCCCTCAGACATGGCTCCTCTAGTCACTAG